CCTGGCTACGAGAACCAAATATCAAGTGGGAGGCAACCCGAAATTTCCGCCCAGTAAATAACTTCAAAAAAGGCCAAGAGATAAACCGGTACTCGTCACAGACTACAGAAGATATAAACAAAACATTTTCCACCCCATGAGATAGAAAAAAAAAATGACAAAGAATTATTTTAAAATGTGTATACACCTCCTGTGACTGACTATGCCCAGCCTCACGGCGAGCACATGAAAATGATGTTAAGTGAAACATATAGGACACCCCCAGGATACAAGCATGTGATTGGTGTTCCCCTTTAACACAGACCCTACTCATACAGCCAGTGTCTGTGGATATACCTTCACTTCAGCGTCAAATTGTCCTGTCCTGGATGTGATTCAGTCAAAATCCTTCATTAGTTTCTAGACATATGTTCGGTTTAAGACTAACTTTCTAACATTTTTTTAAAAGAAGGGACGTGATGAACAGATATGATTAAATGGAAATGTCAAATATCACTGTCATCTGTCAGTTTGAGGAAACCAACAACTCTGATAGCATCACTTGCCACCAGTCATGCAATTTTTCTGATTAAATGTCTCCAAACAAACAACACAAACACACCATGTACTGCCAAACACAAATGAACACCTGTGAGATGCAACAAATCAGGTGAATCTGTCAAAGCAGCAGTCATGAATTTCTCCCCCTACATTCAATGGTCTACTTTCTATGAGGCGCCAGTAACATCATGCTGCATTCACTGTACCACATACTTAATTGTAATTTTAAGGACCAAAGTGTAAGTGGCGTTAATTAATTAATTTGAAAATGCTAAACGTATGTAGGATGCCGAAATGTTTCCTCTCCCCCTTTAGCGTTTACCTGTCATGGTTCAGTTTAAGCCTGACCACAGTGATAACAACCAGCTGTGAATGAAAATATCAATAAAAAAAACAAACAGGTACTCACCGCTTTGGGCATTTTTCTGTCCTTTTCCTTGCTGTGAGCGAGGAGCAGATAAAGTTTAAAAAAAAAAAAAAGTCTGTCAAATGAAGAGAACCTGTGCTCCGTGTGTCTGTAGCTCTTCGCTGTGCCTTCCTGGAAAAGGGAGAAAGAGGAGAAACGAGTTTCAGCCACTTCGGTGTTACTTAAACCCGGCGGAGAGAGAGAGAGCGGCACTCCTGCAGGCGACAGTCATCAGTATGAATCACCGCCAGATGCTACAAGCTAACACCAGCTATCCTGCACCAGACAGGAAGTGAGGCGGTCCACACTTCACAATAAGAGCACCAGTAAAGTCACTTTCTTTTTTTACTTTTGGAGAGAAGGCCCACATCTTGACATGTTTATTACCCTTTGGACTAAATCAATGTAAGGTTGACACTTATATTGCAATTACGTTCTGCACTAATTCTCTTGCGTCTTTCCAGTTAAACATTTCTGACTGTAAACAAATCATCAACAATGAATGTCTTTCACCCTAACCCAAACTGTGCAATCATTTTGAACATTTTTATAAAGGTCTATTCCATGTTGTCCTCACTCTCTGCGCTTTTGTACGGCACAAACAAATTGCGGCCCCCATCAACCCTCGATGTGGCCCTCGGGTCAATTTTTTACATATCAATTAATTGGAAACATGAAGAAAAACATGACAAAATCTGCCATGAAATCATGAAAAGCAGAAATATTCCCATACTAATATTTGATCACTGGCGTATGTTGAGATAAATTTGAGACATTATTGACTGTAATCGTTTTTGCATACAATTTGGCCCCTCTGGCAGTGAGAATTAAATGAATGTGGCCCCTTGCTGTGACCAAAGTTGCCCATCCCTGACTATTGCTCAATATCTAATTCCTATTTTATTAATGTTTTGATTGTACATAACTATGTTTCTACTGTTTCTACTGACCGAATTTCCCTCTGGGATTCACAAAGTATTTCAGATTCTGAGTCTACCCTTTATTAATTAACTCTTAAATACTTTTATTCTGAAATTCAACATCGGAATTCCTGCCTTTCTCTTCTACCTTGACACCTTTGAACGCTCCAGGCACCAGGCAGGTTAAATATGGTACTCAACGTGCCTCACCCACCAGCTACGATAAAGTTATAGTCCCCACCCTGCTCTGTTTTAGGCTTTTATTTTGACGCCATCAGTTGCTAACAAACCCACAATACATTTAAAATAAATGGACCTATCCAGGCTATCCCACTTCTGCTCTGTGTCGCTTTAAAAAAAGCCACTTCAAGAAGCGAAAAGAACTTCTTATGTGACAGCAGATAACCTTTTACGTCCCCTGTATAACCCTTTGGAGGACAATGTGACATAATAGACAGTTGCAGTAGATTTATATGTATTTTTTTTTCATGGCAGGGTTACGTGTAGACTGTGTTCTGTGTGAAATGGGTACACACCCACATCGACACGACATTTAAGCCAAACAAACGAGAATTTCCACCTCTTTGATCCGCACAGACAGACAGACAGACAGACAGAGAAAAGAAATATTCACATTTCAACAAATCGCATAACTTGTTCCATGATTTAACCACTTTAAACACGGCATGTTATTGTGTTTTTTTTTGTTTCTCTGCAGGAGCGTCTCCGAGCTGCAGCCACATCCTCTGTAATCCCTCTGACTGACACCTGTTGTGAGATTTGCCCCATTTGTGAGAGAAGCGGAAAGTACGCGGGGAAGGGGGAGAAGTGCGAAAAGTCATGTTTTCTTGCACCAGCTTTGGCTTCTTGTGTTGCAGATCTCAAGTCAGTGCATCAGACAAGATTTACACTTTTTCAAACTCTTACGGGAGAGGGTAAATATTGGACGAGATGATTTATTCGGCGGTCTGAAAGCTGAAGGTTTCCCCTCCCTCTGTTCACCTCGGCGCAATATGGCGCTCATCCATCCCACTATTTACCTGAGACTGTCCGCCCTGTCCTGTCCTGTCCCTGGTAGGCTGGATGAGCACAAGTTAACAAGCCAGTCTCCGGGGACCTTTATGACAGTTTCGTTATTAGTAAAGGGAAGTTTTCTCTGCATGCAGGGGGGGTCTTTCCCCACCTACAGGGGGGCAGTTTTGTAATCATAACCTTAACCGCAACAGTTGTCTGGGGGTCGTCAGCATGGAAACTGGAAGTGTTGTTAAATTATGCATCAGTATTAAACTCAAATATGTTCTTAAATTCCAAACAAAGGATCTTTGCTGTGATTAAAAACATACATCATTGTAGCCTGCAGTTGTGTTGGCCTACATGCATGGTGGTGTTGTTTTTGTTTTTAGTGGGACTATTTTATCATTTATCAAAACAAACAACATTCTACCCAAACATAAATCGACCTACAGGCCTAAACTTAAACTTTGGCTGTTTCATTCTTTAATTTACATTTAGGCTAAAAAAATGTATATATATCCTAGAGCTCAAATTATCTACAGCATAACTATAAAATCTACAGGAAACTGAATGGACAGATTACTTTTCTATTGCTTATGATGGTGTGAAATTGTATCATGTCATATAAAATAAAAAATATAGGCTATATTTTTCTCTGACAATAAGTGATAGACGACACATTAACACTTTTAATACTGCTCTATGTATCTACTATAGAGGGGGGGGGTTATGATTTCCAATATCCTGCTGAATGAATATGAATCCTATATCCTGCAATGCATTTGTTCAAACCCTTTGTGCTCTTTTGTTGTGTAAGATAACACCCAGCTTTAATGTGTAACAATGTATGACTCTGTGGAACTACACCTGAACTGATGTTTGGGCCGGGTGAAGACTGGTGTGTCACCTGTGCTGATGTCTCACGGCAGAAACGTTTCGTTCACAGTGCGACTCGTCGTTCAAGTGCGCGTCATCCTCATCCTCCCTGCGCAGGAACCACAGACCCGGAAACGCTGAAAGGCCTCGTCATAGGAGAGCCAGCCAATCAGATGAAAGGATTAAAATAGAGCCGTATATATCGGAGGTTAGGCTTACTTCTCGCCATTGTACGAAACCAAAGAGTGATGTTACCGTCCTGCCCTCCTCTTTGTACTACCTAACCCCAACATCAGCATTATTCACTTCTTTATGAGCCTATTTATAATCATTTCTCAAATCTATTACATGAGGCGTTGTTACCAAACAGACACGAAGTCTCGTTTGTGTAGTGAGCTAAATTTAGCCAAACAGGGAGTCCATCCAAGTCATGCAAAACACCCTTAATTTGCCTGTCAGCCAACTGAGTGAACTGTTTGAATAGTGTTACCTAATGAAAATGGATACAAGTCAGTCATACTCCTTCATTTAGCCCTGATGTCCATGTACAGTGTTATAAAAAGAACTATAGGATTATTATTTCACAGTAAAAAAATTTTTAAAAAAATCTGATGAGTTGTTGTAAAACTGTAGAACAGGTAGGAACTTTCTTCTGCTAGGTGTAGTTGAAAAAAATCACTGTGTACCAGACCAAAAAAAAGGTTGTTGTGACATTAAAATAACAAAAATTAGGGAAATCATAAAACTTATTTCACAAAGCTGCATCAGAAAAAGATAATCAGGATAATATAGGAACTTGAATTGCTTCATGCAGTTAAATCTTTCATTTTGTAAGCTTTGCTCAACATGGCCACTTCTGATATAATGACTGATTGTTGTGGGTTATGCTTAACTGGCCAAAAAAAAATCTCCACCCACTACAGAAGATAAAAATCTGCACCTACTGGTTAAGGTTTTTGTGAACTGCTTTCTGAGGTAAAAAAAAAAAAAAAAATACCTGTCATTAAATATCTCATCTTTCCTCATACAATAGGCTACCTTCAAGGAAACGTCTGATAGACCAAGCTTAGAAAAATAAATTGTGTTGCATTCATAAAATGCCAGGGTTCATGGCCTCAAGCTCAATATGGACTTAAAAAAAAAAAAAACAACTGCGTCACACACTGGAGGTCACCTTTCATTGAAAAGTTACATCATTTTCTCATTCTGTACAAACAGAAATCCTTGATGTGTTACATATTAGGACAAGTGCAAAGTGCTGAAAAATGACTGCTACAAAACTGCATTTGAATTTCATTGATTTTACAAATTCAAATATACATATTAGAATAAAAAAACTAATTTAAATTTGAAAAATAAAGACTTGTAATCGCAGTTTTCCTTCTTTTTTTTTTTCTTCTTAAACATTTTTAAACAACCGGTTTATGTAGGTGTTGTGATTTACTTGGCAACCCTGCCCTGGCAACATGTTTTATTTTTGAGAATAAATGACTCAAGTCTCTACATGTCTGATTTTGCTGGCTGTGTCTCCTTGAACGCACTCCTCCTGTCTCTTCTGGACGACATCATGGATGATAGCTGAAAGAGAGAGAGAGAGAGAGAGAGAGAGAGAGAGACAGCGTGAAGACTTTTAAGTCTGCGAGCATGTGTCAGAAGACCTCTGTTATGTCTTAAGAGAACCACAAGATGTCACTCTCACAATAGATGACCTGATGATCCCTAAAGGAGGGCTTGTGAAATACCTGATGACATAATCAGTGTCTGGATCATGTTGATCCAATTAAATAACCTAGAGAAGGGTTCTGTTTATACCTGTAATGTTTGTCATTCAGCAGGAGAGGTAGGAGGAAGTAAGTAGTAGTCAATCCTACCCATGAATTAGATGAGAGGGATTTGTACTTAAATGTATAAGCATGATTTACACCAATTTTCTGCTTCATTTTAAACTTTCTAATGTCCAGTAATGTATCATTTTTCTTTGTCTGCTCCTCTTTAACAGAGTAAATTGCACTATTATGTAACAGATGACTTCTGTACTGTATTATCTTACTGTCCAGCAGCTCTCTCGCCGTGTATCTCTCGTCCAATCTGTTGTTAATCTCATCCATCAGCCACGGGAAGAAATTTGTCTTAATATCTGCAAATCAGAATCACAAATGTGATGAAACAGTGATCATTCAGATCAGATTCCATTGTGCACAGTGTGTGATGGAGCTCATTTAATCACAGATCTTTTATTACAGATGTTGTGCAATGTGCAGCAAAGTGCAGTGATGCCCCCTTGTGGACATAAAGGAGAAAGCATTGAATGAGTTCAGCAAAGGAAGGCTGACCGTTCTCCACAGGGTCGTAAAAGTAGCCATGGCTCCTCAGTGAGGTGAAGACTGCTGGAAACAGGTCAGCCAAGTACTGCTGGGTGTATGCACGGGCAGCGATCTTCTCTGCAGTCTCTCTTTCTCTTTTCAGCACTTCCTTCTGCTGGGACATTCTGCGCTCCTAAAAGGTCAGAAGAAACAAATCTCTGGTTTGCTTGAGGGGATAAGAAGAAGAGATCTTGGTTTCAAATATTTCATTTGGTGGCTTAATGAAATTTCTCTGACTTTGTATGCAAGATGTGTTTTTAAGTTGAAAAGAATACTTTTTAGTCATAAATTGATCAAGTTTAACTGTCCAAGGACACAGTTCATCGGGTCTGAGAGGTTTATTGAATGATCATATTTGATTGGCAAGGGTGTCTCCGTGGCACTACATGCAAACAGCTGCTATTGGATTGTGATGATAATTAGATCATTTCTATTACAGGCCTGACATTGGCTGATAACGGTGATGTCGTGCAGGGTCATGTTGGAAAAGATTATTTTTAGAATTCAAAATCAATAAGCAATAAGATGAGTCTAGATTTTCAAGACATGCAGAATAAATAATGATAATTCAAACTCAGCTGCATATTTTCTAAAGATAATCTGTAATTTTTCTTTCGTAATCATATCGATTTCTAGGTTCATCCACTGCTTAAATAATTGTGATTTTGACAGCCCTGAACAGGACGCTAGCTATTGAATCTGCCCTCTGTGGATCAGTAAAGGATTATCTTATCTTATTCAAGGATGACTTTAAAACAAAAAACAACTGTTCATCTATGTTTCACAGGGGAAAAACTTTAGTTCATTGGAAAGATTCATTATTAAAGTATGATAGCTGGGACCTTCTAGTACAGCGTGCAGATCCTTTTTTGGTTCAGTTTGATTTTGTATCCAGCACCTGTGAACGTTTTTTTCTTTGAACGATCATACCATTCACCTTGATTTGTCAAAGATTCATTATTTGCCATGAAAGAATTTATCAAAGACTGTAACGGGAAAAAAATACATAGATAAAAATAACGTCAGTAAAAAGAGCTAATCTGAAGACCTTCAAAAAAAAGATATAAAAACATGAAACTGGGTGCAAAAAAGGAAATGTTAAAACAACAATTTACAGAAGTATAAAGGGAGGAGACGAGATCCCAGAGACACTACACACATCAGCCATGGCAGTCACCATTGATATGTAGGGTACATCAAAGATGGGAAGGCATATATTGTGGTCAGATTTCATTTATGTTACCATGGTAACAAGTGTCTTATGCTTGGGTTAAGCCTCGGGTGGAGATGATTCATTTTCTCTCGCACGTACCTTCTCCTCACCGCGGCGCCTCTCCTGCTCCCGAAGCCGCTGCACCTCTGCCAGCTCGTTATTCCTGAGCTCTTGGAAAGCCCTCTGCTGAGCCTTTAGAGAGGCCAGCTCCTCCTCCTCCATCACTTCCTCCAGAGACTGTTCAATTGTTTTCCCCACCAGGACCTCCAGCAGCGGCTGCACCTCCCGGTCAAAATCAAACAGCTGCAGAGGATAACAGATAACACGATAGCAGTTAGGTGTGTTGGGTTTGTGCATGTTAATACATTGGGTTTATTTTTGATCAAATGTCTAAATATTGTATAATGTATTTGTCATTTCCGTTCTTCTTTGTCATATGGCAATAATCATTTTAAAGGGTTATGCAGCAATGTTGTACAGTCTGTAGGGACTTGCACAAGATAAACATATGAATATGATAATACATTGATATTATAAAACTATAAACTTGCCTTAACAAGACAAGTGGAGTTTATTTTCTTTAATAACTTCTATAGGGACAATTCAAAGGTGAGTTAGTGTAAATGTTGCCAGTTGTCCCAGATTAGATAACATACCTCTCCCTCCTCAATCTGTGTTTCAACATCTTTGCCAGATTTGGCTGGTATGAAGAGTGGAGTTGCAGGTCTGTCCAGGAAATCGTCAGTCTGACACTCAATATCTGGAGCCACTATGACCTCGCTCAATTCTTCCAGGTACAGATCTGAAATGAAAGGTCTGTATTACAGAACAGCCTGTAGGTTTTTCATTAAGTAGAAGAGAATTCATCACACTACGGATGTAGAGGTTCTAAAGATTATCCAGATAAACATCAAACCTGTTTGCACATCAATATGTTTTCTGCCCTGCAGGGCCTCTGGAGTCTGCGGCTTGAACTGCTCTTGCGCTCTTTTTCGAGCAATGGCTCTCCTCCTGATCTCTTGTTGTCTTTGTAGTTCGGCAAGGTCTGGTTGAGCTGTCTGTCAGAAGTGATTCATAATAACATTTTCTAAATTACTTGGCCTAATGAAGGCGTAGCCATCTGGAATCAAGCATACATACAGTACTTACAGTTGGTATGATGTGTTGGGCGTAAGTGTTTCCTCTCACTACGCGGCGGTCATACATTATGTTTCCATAATTAATCTGGGTCCTATGCAGTCAAACAAAAACACAGTGTCGTCATGAAGTCAGCCTGACTTGACAAACTTGTTCGCCTCAAAGAGCGATATGTTGACTAATATTGGCCTCTTTGAAATTGTAAAAATATTTTTTCGAGGCATTTTCGGTCTGTCTAGTAACGAGGGGCTGGAAGAAGAACTAAGAATGTGTTTACTTGGGTAAGAGTAAACGATCAGCTTTGAGTCTGATTGGACACACATGTGCTGACAGGAAGTGACCAGAGGCAAAGCACAACATTGACGGCTGTTCTTGAGAGCTCTAATCAGAAAAGAAACCATCTCATAAGTCATCGTCATCAAACAAAAACAATCGTCACAACCATCATCAATGATATCGAAACCATCATGAAAAGCAGTTGAGTAAACATTATGGTAGTGAAGTCTATAATGTGCAGGCTACAGTACAGTAGGCCTATATGTAACTGTAAAATGGAAGTACACATTTTAAACTTATAGTAATATACAGTGCTTAAAAAAGAGTAGTCACTGTTTACCTCTGTCCAAAAACTACAATTTCATCATCTGGATAATTTGAGATTTTTTGATATCCTCTCTAATGCAGACATCTAGCTGCCCTTTTCATTTAAACTACGTAGAGCAGCTTACATAGCAACAGTTCAGATGCAGAGTAAACATTGTATTGTAGGTGATGTAACTCGGTCTGTCTGCCTCCAGTGAGTCACAGGGAAGCATAAACATTTAACAACACACGTACTGTTCAGACGGAGCCTCTCTGTACTTGGAGCGGGTCTCCACAGGCCTGGGACGACTTGAGAAGGTGTAGCTCCCGTTTGTATCTCTCTGGCTGTGTGAAACAAAAGCCATATTAAAGACGCTACCAGACTATCGTAATCCTAATAGTTACAGAAAGTTACGTTTTTTTTTTTTTTTTGGTGATGGCAAGCTAATGACAAAAACGAACGGAGGAAAAGAGTTGTTGTAGCAACCGTCTCCAGGAAGTGAAATATAGCCTAGTCATTACGTCACTCTTTTTTTCACAGCCTTTTCCCGGTCATTTTTAATTTAAAGGTTAATAAAAAAAAATACAAATAACATTTTCAAATTAGGCCTACACATATTTATTTTTTTCCCTTTTAAATCACCAAAGACCATATGAGATATAACAAACACATTTCGTTGTAATTAGGCCTACCTTCTCATTTTACGGGTTTTATAGTGTGGTACAGGCTACACATTTTCAGCAGCTACTAATAGAACATTTTAAAATGTGGTCATTCATTTGTCATGTTAGTTGTGTAATCGCAGTGGTAAAATGAACTGCAGGCCTCCGAGGAGAAAAAGAAAATACATATTTGTCCTTCAACACATTCAAAAATGCCTTTATCCTAAATGTAAAAATGTTTGCCAACTTTTCCTTGATATATATATAAAACCGAACACCACCCCCAAAATAGACCTAAGTAAAGTCTTCTTACTCTAAAAGGTTCAATTGTAGTGACATTGTCTTGTTGGCTGTGGTTGCAGGGGCCGAGTATCTATTGGGGAACAACATGAATATATTTTTGGAACAAACCTTTTCTGTGACATGACTATAGCTAAGGAAGGTAGAAAGTTGAGAGTTTCACAACATGGCTCAAACCAAAGACGCTTTGTCAGAAAGGTAACACTAACACTAACTCATAGTGGCTTCTCTTTTTCTGTTTCACAACACATTTCTAAAATTCTGAGTATTACCTTTTGATTTCAAGACCACCTCCTGCACACCCTGATAAAGTTTACCCCAGAGAGCATTTTTCAGTTTTACTAAAAAGTTTGCTCGTGTTTGCCAGGCAAATTCACACATAACAGTCAGAACAAAGGTGAAAGCTTTGTGGTCAGAGTGACAACTGAAATGACTGCTCTTTTGATGTTTCCGCATTTCAGATTTGCTCTCAAAGATGATCGCTACATATCCTGGTTTGAAGTATTGAAGTCGTTTTTAGTACTTTTACTACTACAACTATTACAGTTCCACTTAGAGTACTTCTATTTTTATTAATGCAGTTAACCATGCATATACTTAAAGCTGCTGCTATTAAACCACCACTACCACATTATAGCACTCCACAGTTGTCAACTTATTTTGAACTTAAACTAAAACACATGAATTAACTAAAATATATGTATTTACTTCACTGTTAAAGCTTAAACGACTAGAACTATAAACGAACAGATCTCACCCTTAACACTATTTATTAGGAAGAAAGTGTTGCCATTGTTTTACCAATGTGATTGGTTGTGCAATAGATAACTGAATAATGCACACAGTCATTATGTAATCTGGAGGAGAAGCGCTATGGCCACAGCTTGACATGAGAACCATGTTGGATTCATGTTGTGCGTTTTTGATCTTTTCTTTAAAGGAATAATTAATGAACGTGCAGATGAGTGGGGAGTTGTCTGTGCTGTTACTGGCTGTGTTTTGCTGCACATGCTGTTCTGTTAATACTTCAGCTGTCACAAACCATTAGGCTTCATTGAAGGGTAAACTTTTCCAGCTACAGTCACTGTGTTATTCTTTTCTCATTAGTGTTGACTGTCTGCCATGACGTTATGTAACAAGCAGGACAAATTTTCACTCTTTCTTTTCAGCCCTGAAGTGTACTCTCAACACCTTTTTTTCTTCTTTAACAAGGTTTATTCTAGACTTTTAGACTTGATTCACATTCACAAGTAATTAAAATAGAATGATGTTTTTAATCACTCTTCTAATCAAGGCCACAAGAAGCATCAACACAGGCCTTCCCACCCCCGTGGAGCCATACTGTTTCTCAATCAGCAGGTGGTTACATAAGCAATTAGGAAACTAGGTGTTAAATAATGGTGACAAACAACTCGGAGAAGAAGAGGATCTGTTATTGAAATGTTAAGCAGTCAGTTAAATAAGGTAATGAAGCAGGGATGTTGAAACAGAGGCAATTACTGTCGTATACAGGGGGGTCTCACCAGGAGTTCTGAAGCCCTTTGTTGCCACTATAATCACTATGAAGAACACGGATGCTCGTTCATTTCAATGTCCAAAATAATGGATGAAATGACACCAAAAAAATATATACAGAGGAGGACAAATTCGTTTGAACACTTTGTGTATCCTCTTAACATAAACCAACACCAAAGACTTCATATTGGATATATTTTTTGTGTGATTTGTGGCTGAATTGTTTCAGGTGCCCACCTTTGGAATCAGTTTGTGTAGTTCTCTTCAAGGTCTCTAATGGAGGATGGCATAAACAACTCACCAAAGCGCTTTGTTTTAAGCTCAGAAATTAATCAAATCCAACCTGTGGCTCCTGTGGTGGGGCAGTAGTAGCTCAGTCTGGACTTGGGTTGGGAACCGGTTCAAGTCCCGGTGTTAACCAAGTCTGGAAATTGGAGAGATGCCACTTCCTGAGCACCGCCAAAGCGCCATTGGGCTCCAACCCCCCACCAGCTCAGGAGCACTCGCTGTGGACAGTCCCCTCACTCTGACATCTCTCCATTACTGCATGTCCATAAGATCCTGTTTGTGCATGTGTCTGTATTTCAGCCTGTGTGTGTGTAGCATGTTCAATAACAGTGTGTAAAACTGAATTTCCCCTTGTGGATTAATAAAGTATATGTTTTTTTTCTTCTTCATCTTCTTTCCCGCATGTCACTCCCTGGTCTCTCACTCCCGGATTTCTAACTCTACTGTCCCATCTCTACTTATTAACCACTCAATTTTGAAAATGAATCTTTTATGTACACAAAAGCCCTTCTTTGGACAAATGTTGCAAATTAACATCCACTATAAACATATGATACTCGGAATGGAGTGCTGTTTTCAGTTTATCTATGTATATTTTATCCGTCTCTATCAAACAAAACATTAATAAAATGTGCATTACAAATGACAATTTGGTCTGTGAGTTGGGCCACCCCTTTTGGTCTGGACTAAAACATCTCATCAAAAGTCTTGTGGATTTGTTCTGAAATTTGTTGCAGAGCTTAATGACACCCAGAAGATGAATCCTCCCAGCTTTGAAGGGCCCCTGTCTTTTTTTTAATAAAAGAGACTTAATGGTTTCCAAAACTAATAAGGTGAACATTACTTCTAGATAGCTTTCATTAAGCAGCTTTTATCTGTGTTTGAGTTGACGTTTGGAAATGACCTTCAGTGGAACGTGTGGATCTTTGCGGAGGATAAGGTGAGCAAATCTTTTTGATCAACTTTTAAAATGTCACCAATATTTGTAGGCTTTTCTACTAAATAAAGCCATGTGAGTTTTCAGGTCTCTCCTCATACTTTGATTCACTCAGTTTGAGACCTGATATGAGTCATACTTTGCAGTGGCTTTACGTTGTCCTTACATTTTATAAGGGGCCAATTTTAATGTATGGTTTAATTGTGTACACATTTTTTTTTCATTCTTTAAAGGGTTAAACTACATTTTTGTATTTCAGTCAGGAATACTCTCGTCACAGATTTAACCATTTATTGCACTTATGGTTTGTACTGTTATATTTGGCGGTATTGGTTCTGCTCTTACCTCTCAGCAGTATCGGTGCAGCATGCCACAGATTTTGCTCAGAGCGCAAACATTTAATTCCCCCCCATGGGCACATGCAGAACAGAACCTGAATATGCATTCAATGATACTGACATCTTGCAGACATAAGAAGCAAACAATTCATCCTAGAGTATAAAATGTGCTGGCGGAGGTTGGGGTGGTGAAAAGGAGAATTTCACAGCAGTGTCTAGCAGCACAGTGGATGAGAGGCAGAATGGTTTAAATAGACCGCCTTGTTGTCTGAGTGTGATAATGATTGGTTGGCATTGGGGCGGTTCTTAGATCAGCTGATGGTCGCATGCGGGCAGGACTACCGTACTCCGCCTGAACTAACGCAGGGCTCCATAGGCATCATTTTAAAGTTTCAGGAGTCTGAACTCTTATCTTTATGGCGGTTTCATTCTAATTATTGCATGGGTTTCTAAATACATCACATCATACACATTTCAGGTCAACTGTCTTGTAAATTGTTACTGAATGCCAGAATTTATCAACCAATCTTTGCCTGTCTATGTCTCTCTCTCTCTCTGTCTGTCTATAAATAACAGTTGAACACACCTTGCCTGGATTAAACAATAACTTGTCCATTTTCTTGCTGTCATTGTCAGATTCAACAGCTGCTTATTAAACTTTATAAAGCCTCTTTAACTTAGGTTAAATCATATGCAAGGAAAATTAAATATTTCCTGCAAGCCTGGATGTTTTAAATTGTACTGCATTTCTTCTTAATTCTTTCTACAGTTATTAGAGATGCTCCTTATCGGCACTCTTTATCTTCAAATTCACCGTAAAATGTTGCAGAATAAAAGCCAAAGAGTTTTAATGTCAGTGCAACTTTGGTGTTGCATTAATGAACTTGTTGAGTGAGGAAGGAGTGCGGTTAAACTCTTTTGAAAGGAAGTACTTGTTGGCATCTGTTCATCGCACATTTCGGGCGAAGAGGAACTGCAATTCAGAGAAAAACCAAATCAGCCCATGTGACCCTGTCTGGTTTCCTCCTTTTTTAGCAGAACTTGATGTTCCATCAATGAAGCCTGTGTGGCCATGTTATGTAACTCTGCTAGCAAAGGGAAGTTGAGCCAAACTGGGGGCTCGACTTCATTCCCCCCCACCCTTAATTGTGCCCCTAATGATTTGACCGTTGGAGCGATTCAGGACCACAGCATCCATTTCTAAAAGCTCTAAATGAAACAAACACTTTTTTTTTTTTTTAAACTTTATTTTCTTTTATTTATAGATTTTCATTGCCTTTTCTTTTTAATCTAAAACAATTATTCCACACAGATAACCCACCTAAACATACTGCTGTTATCCCTTTATTTACAATTAGCATACAAAGCATCGTTATCAATCAGAAAAGTGCTGTAATGTAGTGACAGAAAAAAAACATGGAAGGTGAAGAATATGTACAAAAAGCCAAACATTTGTGCTCATCTTGTTTTTGTGTACGACACTTTGTCTACAAAAACTTAAAGAAATATTTACAGTTCAAAAGTCATAGCATATTTGATCCACAGTGAACTGTGTTGTCATAGCTTCATTAGGATAGACTAGATATCTATCATTATATGTACTTTAAAAGTTGTACTCTAAACAGTACTACTGACAATGTGCAACCATCAAGGCGGCACATAGTGGACATTCATTCAAAGTGAATCAGTGTAAAAGTCATAGATTGGACTTTCTGTACAAACACAAGCGCAGCTGCTCAGTGGGCGAAGCTTCAACAATAGTTCTTCCGTCGAACCAACAAAAACCACTGAAAGGGAAAGAAGTGTCTGCCAGTATGATGCAAAGCTCCCTGCTATTAAAACAAACACACAAGACAGAAATATGAAGTTCAGGAAGCAAGCAGTGAAGCTAACTGGCAGTTAGAAACTCTTTTTTTTTTTTTTTTTTAGCTTTGCCCACTAATATTCAACTCTGATAAATGTTTGCTAAAAGCCAATGCATTAAACAGCTTTAAAGTGATCAGTCAAACATAGGACTCCTTGGCATAAGAAAATTCCTCAAACACCGGGTGGCTGCACCTCCGTGACACGACCTCGTGATGACTTGCGGGCACCGACTCGGACATTGCTCTCTGTCGAAAAGTATGTCGCTGCTCGACCATATTGGTTTGAGCTAAACTGTCTATGTACTGACTGGCAGAGTAGGAAGACAGGAGATCGTAATTGACCGAGGATGGACGGGATCTTCTCTCCAGCTGTACGGCATCGTGTACAGTCATTGAGTTGTACTGTGGAAGAGGACCCATGCTCTGCACTGCGTGTTTGTACGACGGCGGCCTGGAGGGCAGCCGGCTGTCCACCTGCTTAAACACTTCAATGGCCGACAGAGGGCGGGGTTTGAGCAGGAGCTCGGCTTGTGGGTCTGCTTCGCTCTGAGAGTCCTCCTGGAGAGTTTCACACGGAAAGGCGTTGTCTTTTTGAGAGTCTTTCTTCAGGCTGTTCCTGCTGAACGCTCCTAAACTCCTGGTCCTCAGCAGGACTTTAGAAGGAAGTCTCATGGACTGTGAACGCTTTTTCTCATCTGAAATAGGTCTGGGAATGTCCGGCTGAGCCTTTGCCGCCATTGAGGTCTGGCTCGATGTGTTCGCTCTCCTTTGGCAGGCTGGTGAGCCAACAGGGGAACTGGTAAAAACAGAGCCGTCTGATTGGTTGGAGGCAGCGCTCTCTAAGGAAGAGCACGAGCAGTTCTTGGTGTGATTTCCTGCCATGTAGGGCAGTGGCTCCATGTTAGAGCTGCTGCTCAGTTTGGGAAACATAACCACTGGTCTCGCTCCTCGTCCTCGGAGCAAGAAGGAGTCGTCCGAGATCTGCTTCGTCAGCGGCTGCTCCTCGAAGCCCCTCCTCTCCACCGAGCAGTCATCATGGCTCCTGGCGTGGGCACACATGCTCTGGAGATCAGCAGGGAGATGGATGATGGGCTCGGAGCAGCGGCGGTCGAATGGTGGCTTCATGTTGAAGGAAGCATCGGCTGGCCAGGAGGAGGAGGAGGCGGAGAGGCTGGGACTGAGAGAGGAAGAGGAGCAGCTGCGGCCGTGTGTGGAACCGACACTCTCTCCTGCCTCTCCATCTCCGTCAGGGTCTGTGCTGTCGTAAGCAGAGTCGTGATGCTGAGAGGACAATGAGTCTGCAGAGTGGAATCAAGAAAGGAAGAGCTATTAATTAAACGATAATTAGCCACATTTAAGAAGTTGCGCAAATACCAACACTATTTTAAACTTTGAAATGAACTTAAAAAATATTAAACTACTTTTATAGTGCAAATTATTCAACTAGAAACATTTTAATGGGGGCCATTGGGTTCAAATACACGCAAGGTAATATCTCACAATTTGATGAAAGGAGCATGGTCTGAAATTTTTAACACTGCAAGGAAAGTCTTTCATGTTCTCAAAGCCCAAGGGTTATATTTCACCCATTGCTCTGCAGGGATAGTAATAGTAAGATAGTGGACTCAAGGCCATACATTTGTTTGCCAAAGTACATTTATTCCTGAATCAAAGATAAACTTAAAAGAAAAAACAATATAGATGTGGCAATTTCACACAGCATTTCTTAATTTCTGCATCTTTTTAAATACTAGTAGATACATTCAAATAAAAGGTGTGTTATGGGGATTTTATTTTGAAAGGATGCAAATGTACCTTCATCAGTATCCAGCAGGTTGTAGATATTTTCTCCAAGTATTTCACAATGCTCAATCAGGAACTGAGTTAGCTCTGTGACCTGCAGGAAACCAGAAAAAAAACAAAAACACGATGAGTATTGAAATCATATTACTTATTGATACTGAAACTGATATAAAGACAAAGAATTTTATGAAATCCAAGATGCTCTTAAGTGATATGATCCAAAACATTGCAGTGCTGTCATCAACACCATGTTGTTTAAAAAAAGAGTCTGTACAAAGTTGTGAAACCCTTCAGAGGTTTTCTGCACCGTGTACCACAAAGCTTCAAAGCAGCAAAAGTGTGAAAGTGCAGTCATATGAAGACTTTTACCTTCTTCATCTTCTCCTTCTGCTCATCCAGCGGGGAGCCGTCCAGCTGCAGCAGTGTGGGGGCGATACACACCGACAAGTTGTAGGCGTCCATCTTGTTGATGTCGGCATTCTCAATGATGTGATGGAGGACGCAGGCGACGTGCTGCAGGAGGAGTTTGTTGGCTACAGGAAGCTTGTTTACCACGCTGTTTGTGGGTAGAAAAGAGAACAAGAACAAGACATTAGTTTGGCGCACTTTTTTTTTTTGGTTTAAGTTTCTTCCTTTTTTTTTTTTTTTTTTTTTTAAAAAAACAGCATCCAAACTAAAAAAGAAGAAGTGGTTCAGTCTAGAGATGTAGGGCATTGGGATTGCTCTGAAAAACTCCACTCAAAATACCCACAGTGTTAAAGATTAACCACATGAGCAGTCGTGGAAATACCAACAGATTTCCTCTCATATATCGATATCATATAAAAATAGAATAAGAATAGCAGCAGGTAAGTGGCACTGTTGAGAATCATTAGCAGGTATTGATGACTTACTTTCTGATTTCCACAGTTCTCTGCTGGGTGTCTTCATTATCCAGAGCCGTCATCCAGTTGTCATAAAGTTCAGACACCAGCAGGCTTCCAGGAAGTTCTTTAAGGAAACTCTGCAACACACAGGAGACATTGGTTAACAGCAATACTTGTATAACACATTCTCTATAAAAGCAGCTTTGCCAGTAATCTTGGATTTATTTCTACTTTAAAATCTTCATCGTTTCGGTAATTTCGGTATCAGTATGAGCATTGTTACCGGTATCAGTATCGCCATCTATGTTAGTAATGGTACGGTATTTTTTTTTTTCATTACTTCTGCGTGGTAGTAGTGGTACAGTGGTACAGTGGTCAGTATGGTACAGTGAGTAGAGGCAGCTGCAGCATCGGTTCAGTCGTATGGTAGTAGTAGATGTGGTTGTGGTGAAAATTGTCTGAGTAACATAGTTAGATCAGCTGTTGTATCCATGCCAATGTTGTAGCAGTAGTGGTTGTGATGTATAACGATGTTGCATTAAACCTGGTAATGTCAAAAATCATAGAAAAGGGTGGAAACTTACTTTGAGCAGCCCGACAAGCAGAGCGACCGGCTGTTTCTCCAGATCCACCTCCAACCCGTTGTTGAGCTGCTCCCTGACATCCTTCATGACTTTGCTGTTGCAGGTTTTTCGAAACACTCCCTCTGTGGATGGCCCTCTCTTCCTCAGCAACAGCAGCATCTCCTTTAAAAAGAACGTGTTCAAAGAGGAGAAGAGATTAGGTTTTTTTCTTCTTCCTTTTTTTTTTGTTTTTATACAAGCAAAAATCTGAGCTTTTGGAGTTTAGTGATCGAAGTGCAGCTTATGCGGTAACATGGTTTCCTGCCCTCGTTGGCAAATTCTAAGAATCACTCTCTGTCAAAGGTCAACAGAGCAGCTGCTTTTTGATTGACGTATCAATGTCAACAAGCAGCTGCTCTATTTTCCATCAAGAGATGAGAAAAATCTGCCCTTATCAGTGACATAATTTTACTAAGGTAAAGAAAAACAGCAAGCAGGGGAGATTTAAAAAAAAAAACTGTTCTTGGTGTAGCCCAAGAGATACTTTCATGGCAAGTGACAAGATAAGCAAGGCCCCACTTAAGGTAGAAACTTACTGTGACTGGTTTGGGGAGAGAGCAGTCGTCTGGACTGATCTTGCAGAGTGGCTGTCCAAACAGCTGCGTCTTTGTGTCTGCATCTGATCTGCGGGCTTTCCTGCTGAAACTAGTACCCTTCTTGAGCCACTTCCACCTGGTTTCTGTAGGAGGCAGAAATGTTTCATGTGTTAGCTTATTTAACATTTTATATAACAGTTTATCTCTCTAAAGCTTACATTGAGAGCCTTATTGGAACGAGTGCAACCAAACCACATGTGCAAAAATGAAGGCCAAAGTTGTCACTTGCTTGCACTTATCAGTTAGATTTCCTTTTTTCTGTGTTTGTGGTTTGGGTGTCATAGCTACACATGGCACAGTTATCGAGCCCCTCCCTTTGTCAAAACTGGCAGTTTTCAAACTCACCAATGGGCTGTGTGGTCTTGTCCTCCGGGTTATGTAACTGTTTCGGTTGCGAAGAGATATTTGCAACACCCTGGTAACGAAACAAAAAAAAAAAGCAACGTGGTGATGAGTACACAAAAGGGAACAACAGAATAGAGAAGGAAAGAAGGGAGGGGGATGTGTTTTCTCAACTACTCAGCACCACAAACCCATCATGCCTCTGACACTTGATACAGCTGAAATAGCGTCGTCTACAGTACTACAAAAGTCCCTCAAAGAAGCCCAAATCAATCACATTGAACACATTTGATTATCTCTAAGATCCAAATCTCTTATAATTGCTTGAAATGCAGTTCAACAATATTCTTTAGAGTTACTGTTTATGTATCTAAGAAGCTGTGTTTGTTCTGATAATCCGTCTAATGTCAACAGAGCATGAGCAGATGGCACAGGTGGCTGCTTGTTTCGCCTGGTTATCTCTTATCTCAGGAAGCAGGTAAAAACACAAGTTTAACTTACATCAATTGGACAATCAATGAATGGTTCCATGCTTCCTCCTGTTAGAGTTTTAGTCTTAAAAGGAGAGAGAGAGAGAGAGAGAGAGAGTAAGATTATTTGGTAAAAGCTAAATATTGTAGAGTTAAGGGCATGGTAAAAGAAGGGGGCGTGAGAGACTTACCGTGATGCTGCCACTCAACACCTTCATGAGGACGTCTGGAGGCGAGGAAGAACAACCAACCCTCGCTTTTGTGTCTTTAATATTTCTGTAATTAAAAAAAAAGGGACATACAATTCAATGCATCTACACATCAATCTAGAATTAATCTTTAGGGACATTGTTAGTTTAGCCATGAATATAATCATTTTCAAACTGCATTTTGATTTTACTTTACCACGAGGTATCTCAAAGTGGGTCTATACAAAGCCCTTACATAATCCTTCACACAATGTTCTCTCATCTTTTGTCTGTTCTCTTGCTGGAGATTATCGTGACTGATTATTAAAACTTCCTGATTCAATTTCAATTGATTGATAAAGATACTTATATTGTTTTATCTGGTGCAGTAATTGCAATCCCTGAAGCACTGTAGTGTCTTAAACATGGACCAAAGTCTTCTTTATAACACAACCGGCTTTCTCTTTTAAGATATTGAAAAGGATATTAACGATACTTTTGTTGAAAAGGAATCTTAATATTAAATCTCTTATCTGAGAATAATGTCGTTTCTTACCTGTGGAGTATATCTAACCAGCGTTCTTTGACATCAGATGATCTGTCGGCAAAATAACAACATGGTATGAGTTATTAATCCACAGAGTGTCACACAGGCGAGCAGAAACTGGGGGAGGACTGAAGCAAAGTACACACACGCGCTCTCTTTTAACAACTCGGGTGGAAAGTGTAACTCAGTCATGGGGACAGGAAGCAACGTCACGGCGGCTCCCCAACCAGATATACCTTCCACTTCCTCCTTGACACGACCTGCTGCAGGCTCGTGGTCAGTCAGTGGAAACATGATGATGACGATACAGAAACAGGTGCCCACGTGTACACCTGAGAGCTTCACACCGTCTTTGAACCTGCTGTGATAATCTTCAGCATGATGGATGTACAGTATGCCTCACGAGGGAAGTGTCAAAAATGAAGCACACGGTGTCTCCTAGCATCGGCTCCATGTGAGTGAGAAGGAATGAAACTCTCACACATTGAATCATTTCCAGAGCCTAATCATCAGACAGAATTATGAACTCCTGTTTTCAGACTACACAATTCAAAACCTACCGAGGAACTCATCAACCGTCAAAAACTGTTCTGTGACTGACTACTTTGCGAGAAACGTGGGAGTCTGTGAACAACAGAAATGAAGCATTTCTTTACTTAAGTTTGTCTAATGAGACAGACGGGAGGCCCTTTAATTCAAGAGAACTGTAACAGTTCATAACATTAAGATCGATAACACCGTCTAGACACAAAGTATGAGACAGTGTTTCTGCTGCTCTTCATCTTTATAGTAAAGGCCAGTATTTCCAGTTAAAGTCAGCTGATGTTAGTCCCCTGACATGGAGAGATCAGTTCGTCGTCCAGCCCCACAACTTCCTGATTTTGGAATCTGTTTTGATGCTGCAGAGAGGACTTTCTTTTCGCAACTTCCCTCTTTTCAGAAAGGTCACAAAATCATATGACCATTTATTGCAAGTATGCCTATTCCATGAATGGCCTCAGATTTCATTTAACTCATGGCTAACACAAATAGGTGGGAAAAATGGAAGAAATAAATGTTTTTTTTTTTTTAAATGTGTGCTGGAAAACAAGTTTGACTTGAAAACATTTTAAGGAACAGTTCAACATGTAGGGAAGTTGCCTCGTAGCTTTGGATTTAAACAAAGAAACACAAGAACAGGATTAATCTTCTCAACGCTCCATTCACTTAATTATCAAAAATAATTATTAGTTAGACTTATTAAGTTCTGTCTGAATTTGTAGGCAAGAAAGACCAAACCATAAATCCTCTCAAACCTTAAAATAGATTAAGATTTTTTTGGCACCCTCTGTGGACAAAGTGGGTCCTCTTATCTTGTTGCTTATTTCCAACTGTTCATGTCTAAGTATTTAGATTTCAGAACACATAACAATAAAATGAAATCCTACAAGTTTTAAGTAGAGATTTTGGATGCAAGAAAAATCATCCATTCTTCTGACAGTCAAATGCATCACTCACTGGGAATCTTTGCTGTGACAAACCCAGATATCCCACAACCCCTCAGGGACCTGGAGGCCATGGTTACAGGTTATAGGCATTTAAATTACTTTATAGCAATAATCAATCTTGTCCCTGATAGTTTGAAGCTCATACGGAGTTGCTCCAGTCTGTTTCAGAACCAGCTGAAAATTCCTCAGCTTTAATGTCATCATGAGGTTAAGTTAGAGTTTAGAGTGCAGGCTTCCAGTTAAGATCCCGATGGGGATGTAGGTCAACAATCAACTCAAAATACCAGGCACTGTTTGTGTGTGAGTCATCAGCTACATGTTGACTCACCGAAAACACACCAAACAACAGGTGAGAGCCCAGGTCAGGACGAGGGTCACACTGAGGTCAACATCCCCTAACGCTCTTCCTTCTTCTTCTTCCAGTTCATCTTCAAATCCGTAAAGCCAGATGTCCTCGAGGCTCACTCTGTGTTCAGGCGGTAGCTAGCCGTCGACCTGGTAAAAAGACAGCTATTTTTATAGATAGTTTCAGTTCCATAAACATTGTCTGAGTTCTTGATTTGGGTTGGAGCGAACGTCAAAAAAAAGTGTTTTTTTTTTAAAGAGCATGTTTTAAAAATACTCAAATCTATCAACTGTAGAAACCACAAACTTTATCTAACACTTGAATGCAACATGATTTCTATCAATGTAAGTGTCGAGGAAAACATATCCACATGGTGACTGCTAAAGAAAGAAATCAACCAAAAAAAAAAGGCTGTTTTGCCTTAGTGGATATTTTTGTACAGCTGGATGATTACAATCAAAATCGTTCACACTTCTGAACCAAACAGATGTCATCTTCAGCAGTTTGGAATAGGCGTGAAGTTGAAATGCAGACGTTTGAGAGGGTAATCGAAGAGAGAGATTGTGAAGCCGAATCTCAAGTCCACTGAATTCTCTCATAAAAAACATTCTGGGCTATTTGTGTCCTGAAATGTGTTGCTGAATTTCATTCGTGTAAATAGTTTCCAAGTGCTCTAACAAAAGAAGTAAATTGTATCCGCTACAATGTTGTACAGTATAACCAGCACATGCTCATGACCAAGCTGACCACTGCATGTTTGAATCAGAGGTGTGCTTGGAGGGTCCTGAGTCATTCATAGATTGGAGGGCAAACTAGAAAAACATCCTCAGTGTTGGGTGTCAAGTAGATGATTACTGCGTCTCTCTTTAACAAGGATCACGTACATCAATTTTGGGTTTTTCTCTCCTGCCTGTCGGTACCTCATGAATCTGAATCCGGCTCGTTTACTTCCTACATTCAGCCTCCTTTCATTATCCCGATCTTTGTTTTTGTGTCTTTGTTTATTTCTCCTTTTGTGTTATACCTCTTTTATTCTACTTCATCCTTCATGTGCTTCGAGTTTGTTGGCAGTCTTCGTAGTCTAGTTGTATAATTTTTTTTTTTTTTAAATTGAACAACTCCAAAGCTGAGTTCATTAAACATTAAACATTGCCTGTTCATTTTAGAAAGCTCAATCATTCTTTTCTTCATGACTCCTATAGTTAACTTGAAGGTGAACACCACTCAAAGGGAAGAGATTACAGCATAAAGAACAGCCTTTACATTTCTTTTTGGTGGCTCTGTAGCTCAGTGTGTAGAGTCAGCGCCTCATGTACAGAATCTTAACTTTGTGTCGCCCTGTTTGCTGGGTCGACACCCGATCAGATTATTGCTCGTAATCCCCCAGCCTCTTCCCCAAAGGCAAAAGGTCAATTAGCCTCACTTTGCAATCTCAAAGTCTTTAGTTTTGATTTCTGAGGCTGCACCTCAGAAACACAATTAAGCCGGGCAAAACTACTCACTTCAAGATTCTGTTCTCCTGATTGCTAGTAAACTAAACCTGGTGAGTAAATTAATGGCCATAACAAAGCCACCATAGATAATCATCCCTGCTTACTGTGTCATACTGTTGTCCCAGCTGTGCACCTACTGGAACCGTGGGCAGGTTGTGGTACAGAGATGAGTGTGATTGCCGTCCCACTCAAGAGCTATAAAAGTTCAGCCAGCTTTGACAAACATCTCTAATATGACTAAACCAAGCAGACCAAGCAGGTTTAACGTTGCGTGTATGTATTTATTTTTTTCCTTTTGGGTTGAAATCTTGAAAGTAAGATGTATTTTTCAGGAAACTAGTAGAAAGGAAAGAAGCATTTTCATTTCACCCACACAAAAATGAAAGTGTAAAATAAGTAATTAAAATGGAATGAGATATATCCTCATCGATGTTAGCACTAGAGAGCTTCATCTAAAGATGTGTTGAAATCAGTTTATCAAATTAAGAAATGTTTACGGTGAATACCGTGGTTTCCCTCATGTGACCCTGCTCAAAGGGAACTACCATGCTTTCTTCTTCTACTCAGTGACTAAACACAAACAGACAGCATGCTGGGAGATTCCCCAACAGTCCAACTATGCAGTTCAAAAATACAAGTCTTGTTTTTAGTTCCTCTTTTCGCTCTCTTCTCCTGTTCCAACTGTACAAACATCTGACGGTTTTCAGCAGAAAGTTATCAAAATGCCACATCAGCATTACAGCTGTATACTTCTAGATGTACAGTCCCACATTTTCTTTGCCAATTAAGATGTTCATTTTCCACAACTTTCACAGAAAATAAACAATAAACTTAACGTCCTACTTGAGTTTAGCGAAGACAATGACGTCTCTGAAGAGGAACAGGTGTCTCTCCTTGGTCTTGGAGCCCTCTGTGACATGAACACACTCATCCAGCAGCAGCTCCCCGTTCTGACCGGTGAGGCCGAGGACGAAAGGACTCTGCTCCACTGAGACCCAGCAAGAAGCCTCCTCCCTGTGATACAGGACACACACACACAAAAGAGTGGGCAGGGAAATACCCGTTTAAATCCAGTACTTTTTTTCCTCCGTCTCGTATCATTCCTGTTTCTCAGAGTATAAAGATTGCATCCATTTCTGTTGGTTTTCTGAGTTTTCTTATCTTTTAGGGCTACAAAACTGTGTAAGAAGCCTATGAAAGTATCTGAAATATATATCTGGTGGTTCTTTGAGTTAAATGACACAATTGATAAAACTCTAAAAAGAAGCTGGAGCCAAGAGGCCGCTAAATTAAGTTGATAGGTGTTATATTAATCCCCTCTAAGATACTGAGATGAAACAATCAGAAAATAAAGCATCCGCTGTTGTGTTTTCATAGTTGAATGATCACAACATATTAATGAGGAGCCTCCTGATAAATCCATCACTTACTTTTTTTTACAATAAACACATTCACCGACTGTAATGAACTCCCTACAGCCATAAATAGGAAAAAATAAATAAAAAACCATGTGCAGACCTTTCCCTTTTTTCAGCAGGTAAGTGTGGGAAGGCATCACTTTGATTGCAGGTCAATATAATATCAATATGCTACTGTATGCTGATATTGATCTGATAGAATATCATATGATATTAGTCTTTTACCTGATATGATCTTAATTTAGGGATCATCAACATTAATCCACTTACTTGGATATAGGTTTATCCTAAATGTTCAGGGATGAAACACAGACTTCATGGATGGACGTTTTATTGTTTGAGGAACAGAGACGGACGCTGTATTCTCAGTTTAGTCAGGGGATTACCTTTCATCTCACTTGATGTTTCACACTTCATATCCAAAAACAAAATGATCTGTAATTTAAAAATAAAAAATAAAAAAAATCTGGTTTTGTCTTGGCTGTCATTGTGTCTTGAAAATATGAAAAGGGCATCAAATCAACACACAATTCAAGGTGTAAACAAGAAGTAAGAGTTGTTTGTTCAAAGTCGTTTCGAAACATCTGTCACTGCCATTCCCACTGATTCTAGATTCACTATATTCAAATTGTGGCAGCAGAGGTACTTTCCCTGTTACCATTCTGGCCTACTAAATATGACACATAAATACCAGCAAATCAAACAGTATGAGAATTTCAAATGAGGGTCTTCTTTGTGTGTAGAGACTCAAAGTAGTCAAATTAAAATATAACACAATGAACCTTTATTTAATTGATATTACACATTTCTACTCTAAAGTTTTGTTTAATCAACAATTCAACTTTTATTGCTAAAGCTTATTTGTAAAAAAACAATCTCATATACAGTAGCATATCTAATGTCAGGCGCTACTGTTAGCCCTACTCTGTCCAAAGTATTTTTCTGGCACAACCCACTGCGAGATCACAACATGTTACGTGTTTGTTTTTTTGTGTTGTTTGTATGGGCGGTATTTTTAAGCTAACATTTAACTTCGCCTCCTTCATATTCAACAGGTCTAAGGTGGTGTCAATGTAAACATCTAACCTTCTGCAGGAAAACAAATAAAAACTATTCTTAAGTTTGAGATAAACACTTATTCCCGAACTTAGTTGAAAATGATTCACTGTTGACATAGCTAGCAAAGGGAGCTCAAGTTAGCTCACAAGCAAACCCTGTTCTCTATGTAGGAAAAATGAGCTGAAATGCAAAAAACTGGGTGGTTCATTTGTTTGCATATAAAACACAAAAACACAATTTGCTTTTCCTACACTTTGGTTTTTGTTTTCTTTGGACTGACAACAAGAACTGTGTCCTGCTATCTATACATTTAGCTTCATATTTGATTTGGGTTTGTAGCAACATAATTATCTTACTGTTGGCATGAAAACAAGTACACTTATCGTCTGTGTTATCTATTCCTTAAATGTAACTTACAATCATATTCTGTTCACTAAGAATTTAAATGTTAGTTAAGGTAATGTTCAAATGTTTGGAATCTGCTTAGTTAATTTGTTTTCTCTCCACTTTAAACTTGAGATGAAGAATATAATCATGAAGCAGGATGTACATATAAAGAACTTGAATGAGATCACTTTTAAATGTTGATATTCTTTCTACGTCACTGGTAGTCCCACTACAGTGAAACTACCACCCACCATGCCCCCCCCCCCCACGCGGATATACGCAATGTGTTTGAGTGCTAACTGGTCGGAGGTGTGAGAGTGGGTTGGCTTTGACATTTCATCTTGTTTTTTTGCTTGTCTGGACTCACCCACTTAATGCCTTGGTGGTCTTTGTGTAACGGATTCAAAAGGTTAAAGAGTTAAACGTCAACTAAGTAAGAGGAGGTGATGAAGAGCACCCCCGTGCAAAGTATCCAACTGTGCGACAAACATGGCAGAATGTGGATCCATTATGACTTTTCAGAGCGTTCAAGTACAAAGATCAAAGATGTCAGAGTCTATCTATTAACTTTCTTTCTGAAGAATCTGACCCCCTAGGCTTTCAATTGTTACATAAAGCGGTATCGATGTTTACAAATTTGCTCAAGCCTTGAAGATATGAAACCAAGGCTTTGAGGCAGGGTTTTAGATGTACTGAGGTGATGGAAAGTCCAATTCATCATCTGCCTCTACTGTATCTGATTCCATGTGACAGAAGACCATAATGTGTCTTTGTGCAGTTGCAATACACTTGAAATACCGACAAACCGTTTCTGAGGCAACTCCATCACATTGCAAAAATACAGGAATACAGCAGATCCCCGTTAAAATCTAAGCAATTAATGCAACTGACCACTGAATGAAAATATCAGCAGATATCCTGATCATTACATTTTTTTTTTCCCATTTGTACAATTAACCAATGTGTTTAAAAATGTAAAAGTCACAGTTGTTGATACTAGCTGGTGATTCTTAAATTGACCAAAAATGTATGTTTTGTTTAAAATATATAAAGACAATCTCAGAAATTTGACAAATGTTAAACTTATCTTCTTAGCTTCTGGACAATAGTGTAAAAATAACACCTGCAGTTATTGAAGGTGTTCTCTCGTCTCTTTGGAGAAGCCAGTGGAGTTTATGTTCTGAAATAGAACAAGAATCAATAAAAGCCCTGTCTGCTGAGCTAGAGTGGTTGTGAGTCAGACTAAAGAAGTGTGAACTTAGTGCAGGCGGCTCAGTGAATCCCCCACAGAGACACCAGTGTTTGTGGCCTGAAGAGAGTGGGCTGAGTGGCCTGTACAAAGATGGGGGGGATATTCAGGTGACATCAAGGTACCATTTAAAACGTGGTGCGGTAGTAACGAGGAGCCTCGCGTATTTCTTTCTCCATAACAGTTTGTCCGATGTTAAGACTGCAGAAGAGAATATGAGATTCTTCTCCTGTGTGCTGCCACCTGCAGGCTGGAGGATGCAGTAAAGGGAAAACAAAACTAATGTTGCGGTCTAAAAAGTTTTTTTTTTTTTTTTAAGTAGGGAAGTTCCTGACTGAATGACATGACACAGAAGTTTCGCAGCTGCAGTTCTAATAACAGCTGGACAAATACTTAAAATGCTGAGGAGAGGCGCTCCACTGATAGTTTTATTATCTCCTAACCTTTGTGAAAAGAAAACAGAAAATGACATCTAACAATTCCTTATAAAGTACTCTCTAAAGCCACTTTCACTGACTATAGTTAATGTTTTATTCACACTAAATGCATCTGCAGGTATCTTACGCCTGCACCATCAACGGCAGAACTCTTTAGGAAGTCAGTGAACATATATTGAAGAGGGTGAATTCTCACATTAGATCATGACATGACATGTAATAATCTTTTTTTTTCATCTGCAATTACCTTTTTTTTTTTTTCATAAACCTAGCAGAGTGTGTTCCTAAACCTTACTGTTCAACCGCTACAGTTTCAAAGTAAATCTTGTCTATGAAATGTAAAATAGCTTGTTAGGTCACATTAAGGCTGCACACATGGCAAGAAATGTTTGTGAACTTCCTGTTTGTCGGTGTGCCTTGTGAGTGAAAGTCCATGTAGCTTTGTGTTAAGCCCAAACCTTTATCTTTTCCTGACACTTACCAAACTACACTCACATCCCTAACTTCCTGGATTGAAGTTCTAAACGGGGAAATGACACATTAGAAATATATTGTGGCAGCAACATTTGTCTCCTGGGTAGAAATCTGTTTTTTTTTACCCCCCCACAATCTGCTTCGACTCCTCCCTATATTTCAATTTTGTCCATCTTTATGCTACATAAACGAAGATGAAGATATACTAGTTAATTCAGTATGTAGAGAAAGTCATGAAGAAACAAAACCAGATTCAACAGGTCACTGCGTCTGATTTATCTGTTGGAGATTGAGTTTTGGTCAGGAATGTGCGTCTGGGAATCCGAGCCATACGTTGTTGTAAAGAGAGCTGGTACTTTCTCTGTCGACACAGTCAGACCTGTAAAGTAAAAGGCCATCCTCTTAAAACACTACACAGATAGTCCTTCCTTGTGGTGACTTACCTCAACCTGTAGTTCAATCTGCAAATCAAAAACACTCTCCTACATGACCCAGCTAACAATCAAATGAACATTGTGTGACCTTAATCATTCCTTCTTCTCTGTGGTTGGTCTGCAGCTCCTGCAGTCACATGTTGCTGCGTGATTGGGCAAGACACTTAACTCCTGGCGCTGCATCAGCAACATTTGAATGTGTATGAATGGTTTAGTTAACACAGATGGACAATTTACAAAGCAGCTTCTGCAATCAGTGTGTGAATGTGATTTCGAACTCGTTAGTGTGACCTGCTGTGTAAAAGTGCTTTGACTAGTCAGAAGACAAGAAGAGAACTATACAAGCTCAAGTCCATTCACCAACTGGCCCAGTTTGACATTTCTTTATACAATTTGTTTCTCCTTAAGATCTTGTTTAATTATTTTTATTTGTGAAGCACTATGTAACCGAGTGTTTTAAAATTGCGTTATAACCAAAGTTTTGATTACCTGATCTGTTCAAATACGTCACAGTGCACACAAGAACAAACTGAAAAACATAATGACCTAAAAACAGTGTACACCTGCTGTGCAAACCTGCCTAGTTTGTGATGTTTTTTCTCACATGACCCACATTTGGTTTGTGCTTCAACAACCACCACAGCAGGTTAGAAGCGGTCATAAAGTCACATCTGCAGGTTAGAATTCAACTTATTTGTAAATGTGATGAGACCTACTTACAAAAAAGGGGAAACAACCTGGGGCCACTCAAGAAAATTGTTTATTTTCCAACACGGACATTCAATCGATCTGCAGTAAATTCTGTCTTTTTCCAAGTCTAAGTCATTGTTTGAAAAACAATCTTTTTTTGAATCACCTTCAATGTTGTCATGTTTGGGCTGCTGAAACTTTATTTTGACATAGCATGGATTCAATTTTAAAACTGATAGGTCAGGTATTGTTCTTTTCCTACTTTGAGAATAAAAATTACAACAGTTCCATACAAAAAAATAAATAAATAGAGGCAACACAACACAACACAACTTCTAATCATCAGAATGGTTGAGAAAATATGACATCCTCTGATGGAAGAAAACTCCATTTACTGCTGATAAACCACTCAAGAGATCAACGGCAGGAAATGAAAAAAGCATTTGGGTTGTTCTTGTGGCGCTCTGTGATGAGTGTATGAATAAGAGATAAGCAATCAGAAAACAAATGACAAATGAAAATAAATACCTGATAGGAGACCATGGCTTTGCCAGCGCCTTCCCAAAGACCAGTGACGGAGCAGAGCGTCGTCTCTGAGCCAAGTGCTTGAGGTGCTGCAGGAAAAAAACATGGAAATTATTTAACAGGAAAGCAGTATATACTCATCATAGCCTACTCTCACAGCTGCAGTGATTGACAGATGATTACATTTTGCCTAGCAACAGCAAGACAAATCTTTATTGCAATTATGTGCTGTAGATCAATTAATTTAACACATCCATTCATTATCTATAGGCCCAGGGCTTTCCTGTTAGGAGTCCAGGGGGAGCTGAAACTGATCCCAGCAGTCTTTGAGAGCGGCAGGTTAAGCCACATACTGAATTATTAATAGGAAAAGCTTATGTCAGTTTTAAGTAAGTAGGTAATGCTAAAATGAATAGGAGCTTTTTGTTTGCTGCTTGGCTTGATTTAAGTTTGACTTTTAAGAGTAGCCTAGATAAATAGCCTAAACATAAATAGGCCATGTAGCTTTGTAATGTCTTGCCATGTAATTTGAAGTAAACACAGAAATGAAACATCTTTGAAGTTTCTGTTAAAGAAATGTGATTAATTATAATAAATAAAAGATATTTGACTTGCAAAAATTTGGCACATAAAGGATCAAGACTTATTGTTTACATCCTGTATTTAGGCAGGGCTGTTTGGAGCCACCTTCAGCGCACCTCGCAGTACCCAAACCTCATAGAGAAAGACCATTTGTTTGACAAGAAGCCGCTGTATCGCTTGTTTTTTTCGCATCTGGTGTATTTGTCCTGAAGAGAAGAAGACCTTTGTGGATAATTCGGCTCACGATAACAACCATCTATACTGTCAACAATTAAATTATAGCCTAAGTTTGAAATCAGTTGAGCCCTGTTAAGCAAGATAGCAGCGGTTCAGAATCAGAGAACGTCATGAGTAGGCTACCAGATTGCACCTGAAAAACATTTATTTTACACATGTCTCTGTTTTATTTGATGTTCCTACTGGTTTTATCACCTGGTCACCACTTTCCAGAGAGGATTAAACCTTTGCAGACAACTCGGCTCCAGGTAAAACTGCATGAATGATGACACTGATGTTTTTACAATCAGTAGGCCTATGCTTAATGATGCTGGCCTCTGTTGCTCTGTGTGCAATAATGCAACTTTAAAATAAAAATAGAAACTTGCACAGAACTCAAGGCAAATTTCTCCAAATAATTTTTACATACAAACATTTCAGAAAAAGGTTTTTAGAATATCTTTAACCAAACTCTTCAGTTTTATCAGAATCTAACCTCTGTTTAATTTGTAATTTTTCTCTGCAGGTTTTGTAAATTAAGGTGGAGTTCATCAAACCTTCCACCTTCTTTTGGCTGCTACTGGGCTCTAATTGCTGGACAAACTGGGAAACTGGGTGCAATAGGACCGAATATGAAAACTGCAGAAAAAACAAACAAACAAAGCATGAACATTTAACAAAGCATCTCTTTCTGATCACTTTCTTTGTAGCGCTATGATGGCACACAGTCCACTGACACGTGATGGGTCAGGACAAGCTCACAAAAGAAGGATTTGACCTACCAGGCCAGACTGCACGCATTTACGTCACTGTGAGGTATGAATCCATCCAGTGTAAACATGGACCAATTTGTCCTGTAATTAAGTTTTATAAAGAAAGGCCTTACACTCTCTGTCATTCAGGACCAATTGTTACACCCTGCCATAAGGCCGCCCTATGGGGCTAACAACAATCCACACATTGACCCATTAAAATACTTAAAACACCTTAACAAAGCCAAAACAAAGAGATTTGTTACAAGATGACACAATAAATGCTAACAAAGATCAAAATATAACAACAGACAATCCCTGACTGAGAGGCACAGCAGTCCCAACTCCAAATGCCTCCTCCAAAATGCTTCTTGAGAATGCCTCCCTTTCTGCAGCCAGCACTGGCCTTTAAAGCTCTGAGGCCAGGTGTACCTCGTTGTGCAATTTGTAGCTTCACCTGGGCTGGAGACCACAGAAAGGGAGAAGGGACACAGGGAAACACACAGCCATAACACCCCCACCCTTAAAACAACGAATATTCACAAAGCTTCCTGAACAAAGCGTTTCACCTTGTGACACAATAGGTAAATCTTGTACTAAGATGTTCCCTCGTATGGACTAGAGCCTTGTAAAGAAAGTTATACACACAGCATCTTAGTCCTTTAGAGAGCTCCTGGTGAAAAACAATAAGGGGTAGAGAGAAAGGCTTTTTAAGAGGCTTATGGGTTCCTCAAGCACTTGAGAAAATTGAGAAATGTTCTCCAAACTCTGAAGGAGGAACCTCATTATCGAATGATTTGTTCAGACATTTCAAATCATCTTCGACTTTCTTCAGTACAAAGTCCGGCTGCTTGGTAAGACCCTCTAAATGTGGTTTACCACGCAGGTGCTTTCTATCACTGATTACAGGCCTTTTAGCTGCCAGCATGTGTAGAATGTGCAAGTGGGCATGATATGTTTTCACATTTTTAATAAGCTTTATACTTTTGATGTACTACTTACAATTTATTCAACAGAGATGTTTAATTTTTTAGTGTTCATGTTTACATAATGTCTGACTAGGTTCTATGATTGGGCCCAATCCATTTCGCTGTCCTTCTATCCCATTAGCACTAAGAGAGCACTTTTTTCTCATGTTTGTCTCATCCATTCACAGCTTCTGAAATACGAAATAAGTGTCATAATTAGCAACGGGGTCGATCACACCTCCTCATTAAAATAAAAGTTTCTGTCTCTTCCTCGCTCAAAGTTGCTCTGATAACGTTCCCAAAATGTGAATACAGGCCCAAGTGGGCATGATCAGGGGAAAGCATTGATCTGCTGTGTATAAGCTGGTCTTGGACTATTTGCTTTATACTAATAAAGGCTGGCCTTACATAAATCATAAAATGTAATGTCCCCATTTGAACAGACAATCATTTTGTTTTATGACCATTTCAGGGCATTGGAAACATAAAGAGGACTTACTGACATATATCTATAAACCAAATGCTTTAAACAAACACTTACTGATTTATACTTTGAACAAGCAAAGACATCAACATTATAAACTTTGAGACATGTTTCTGTCCACCTGATGAATGAAGCGTCATATTTGAGTCATTGTTGTGTTCAGTTTAAGCATCACAAACTCCTCAGGTAAATATCTGTTTATTTAACAGCTGAATATTCAAAACAATTGCTCACCTGCTATTTGCAAACTTAGTCTTTCTACAGTTTGTATTAATAAAAACTAACTAAAGTTATTTTTAATGTAAGAGGTGATTTAAATGATTGATGGTAAAATCTTAAATGTTGCACACTGTGCAGGTAAACCTTGTTACCCCTAAAACAATGTTAATTTAGAGGAGAAAGGCCTTATTAACCATATTTTTATACGATTAGGTAGTTTGTCTTTGGCCGCCACAGTAACCCCAAGGGCCCTACCAATTAGCAGGACAATAACGTTTGTCAAGTATACACCATAGAAATGATTCACATGAGGGTTTTCTGCCTAACAACATCTTTTTTTAGTTTTATTCAATCGGTTAAGCAACTAAAGCTTCTTGCTTAAGGTTAGGTGTTAATAAGGAGCTAGCATGACTTGTGAAAGCTTTGATCTCGGGGTCAAAAGTGAGACATCACTGAATGTAAAATCCGATTAACACCTGCTCACTACCACTTATAGAGATCTTTTGCACACTTTGCTTCAGTGCTGTGTTATTTTTATATAACTGCAATAATGAAGATGAACGTTTTTCCTTATAGTTGTGTCAATCTCTGTCTACTAGAAGTGTTTGATGCACCTTTAAGAGGTGAATAATGACGTTACAGGCTCTCAAGCCAATCATAACTATGATTCATTGCTCCTAAGGTATTTTTTTGAAAAGGCTGAGAGTATTTTTCTTTACATACCAATGTACTGTAGCATAATTTTTGTACTATAAATTGTATCTTAAAACGTTGCACATATGAATGACTGTGTCTTTCACCTGTCATAAGACAGGTGAAAGACACAGTCTTGTCTTATTTTCAATGGACTAATGGCATAAAACATTGCCAATTATTGTATTTTTTCAAATTAGACTTCAGGAGTTTGCATGCAATTTTTGAAGTACTTTAAATGAAAATGAAAATGAATCTTCTTTTTTTTCATTAAAGAAATTAATTAATGTTTGCTTTAATTGTTTTTTTGTTCAAATCAGGAGATGTTATTCACTTCTGCGTTGCTTTATTTTGTGGCATAATATTGTTTCGTTTTCCTTTCCTTTTTAACCCTAACACTAACCCCAATATCAGATTATCTTATTTATTTCATGTTTAATACACCACATGCTGCAGAAACTAACACAGGTGGTTCTAAATTGAACTAAATGGAACAAACTGTAACCTGTACTACTAAAAATAAATGAGAGAAACCTTGAACCTTGAGAAACCCAAGTATTCAGGACTTTTTTCTCTTCTTGTACTGAACTCACTGAACCATGGCCGCATAGAATAAGAATACACTTCCCATTAATCCAGCCATCCATATATACCTAATAATTCACTTTTTTTAGTCTACATCTGTAAATTTTGTAATTACTGTACATAGCACAGACTATTGCACTTTCTGCTTATTGCACTTCTGGTGAGATGCCAAACCTCATTTCGTTACTCTATACTTGTATATGTGTAATGACAATAAAGTTGAATCTCATCTCATCTCATCTCATCTCATAGCTGAGGTACAAACTGAGACTTTTGTGTACCGCTACACACACACACGTCATTTTTATACCACATAAGTTTCTTCTCTACTAATTTAAACATTAGTGATTTTTATGACATATGTATTACAATTCTTTATTTTTTTTAAAGAAGCATGTTTATGAAAACACTCCATCTCCAGTCTTTTACTGTTCCCTCCTGTTTGTGCTGAACAGTTGAGTGATGCTTTACTGTTTCTAAGCTGTTTCTGCGTCTGTCTTAAAAAAAGGAAGGCATTCTTTTCCCTCACTTAGTACAAGATTACTCTACCAGCCTATAAAATGGTTAATTGCTTTACGAAAGCAAAGTCTAGGACATTTTTATGCATTTTTAAAGTCTCTATCTGAAACTTAACTGGTCTTGTGTCAAAGTCTGTAACCATTTTGATAAAAGTTTGGTCGGTGTTTTGCTGTTGGGACTTAGGTCAGGGGTTAATTGGACTTCAGGGAAAACAGAAATCAATCAGGAAACAGAAATCATCCCAACACCAGGAAAAAAAAACCTTAATGCTGCTTCAGCCTTACGTCTTCAGGAGTACAGTCATTATTTGTCAGACAACAAGTGTTTACTTGACAGAAAAAACATGATAACTCCGAAGGGTCTGAACTAACAACCACTGATGATATTTGGGAAACGACAGACTCCAATTATCATCCAGGGTCAGGAACTTTGTAAAGCAGCATTTCACATTAGAAAAGGTGTAAATTGCAAATCTTCTGGTTGGTGGTCAAACATGGTCATTAATCATGTATTGATTCTCTACAGAAGCTACATGTGTTTGTGTTGGTAATGTTTCACATCTGCAGCTGTTTAGGCTCAGAGATCCGTCACTGAGAAGTGGAGCTGACAGGTTATCCTCAATGCAAAGACCTTTAGAGATTGAACAGTTTCAATCTGACCCCAGGCCTGGACATTTCCTTTCACCATTTTGTAGTAAAATGAGAAACACGAGAAGTAGGAGCACTTTGTTTATTAGTTCTCTACCACCTACTGGGCGGGTGAATGCTTTCTCTCATCATTCTTGGCAATGACTCCCCCGTTTGCATTTCATATTTTTAGCAAAGCTTTTGACAACTGCCTCTTTCACACAACAAGATCTTTTTCACCTTTGCCTTTTTACTATTTACTGATGGATCAATACTCACTGGGCGTAGGGAAGCGGCAGCATCATCATAGCTCCCTCTCCTCATTGCTGCGATCCCATAATCAGGAGCGTCCATGCTAAAGCCCTCAATCTCCTGCCGTCCAGTTTCCATCTCTTGGAGTGGATTTAAAGTACTTAGCGTTCCAGTTTTAGGTCTGTGAACGAGCTAGGGGTGCGGCTGCAGTATGACGTCTCCTGTCCTGCAAAGCAGCCCCTTTCTAACGGGTGTTAATGAGGGTCACAACAATGGAGGCCCGTCTGGCACACAAACAGGAAAGAGAGTTCTTTGTGCCTGACCTGGACCTGCAGTACCACTCTGGTCCCCCCCCCTTTTCCAAAGTATACCATCCCATCTCTACAACCTGTCCTGTTCCCCTCCAGTGGGGCAGCTTCTCTAATGAGATGGCCGTGCATCCCATCAGGGTCCGGCTCTTCGTCCGCATTTCTGGCTAACGAGGGGGAGATGCTGTGACAGCTAGACCCCTTTGAAAAAACAAGGTCTCACAATTTCTGCCTATCCCCTCTCTACATACATGAATAGGTGCACACACATTTGGAATTTCAATTTGAGTTTTTAAGGCTAGTGCTGTTTTGTCTCAATTAAAAACACGGAGCATAGAGCTTTGCTGTTGCATCACACAAGTTTGGCTCACCAATCTAAAAATTACAATGACTATGATGCACAAAAACATTGCTTTCATCATATCATAAATCAACAGTCAGTGAGAAGTTAGGCACTAAAGAGATCGAGAGATGTCTTTTTTCCAGCAAAGTTAATGTCTTTTCAAAAGAGACACACTCGTGTGAAGGTTTTCTCCAAGTGAGTATTTATCGACTCTACTTTCCACAGTTTCCCTTCCATTCTTTATTTCTGAGAAAAGATATGAGAGACCTTGAAGCTGCAAGATTACTCAGCACAACAAAGCAAGACTATAACGTACAATACGATGGAGAGAAGAGATGTTCCATTTACACACACCATAGAATCCACTTAT